TATTTTTCCTGTATTGTTTTTTAATGACTCTTTCATCTATATTTTAGAAGATATATAGTAATGATTTAAAAAATTACTTTTATTGAATAAATATTTAGTCTTCAGTGTCATTTGTAATACATACGTTGAAAATGGGACTTTCTATTCATCCGTGAAGGTAAAGCTGAAATGAATAATGAAACCGTATAATGTAATAATTTACATTTTTATGCTAAGGTTACATAGTATACGGTGGACAAAACAGGCCAGTATGTCTGTTACGCATCATATGTGCTTGCCTGGTGACCTGTTTTCAGAGGCTTACAGCCATGGTTCATGATCTGAGTCAGACTTACCTTTTACAGTTGAAGATCAGATTCCCTTTACTGGTCTGCTGCTTCTCCTCTGCTGCTGCTGGCCATCCCTGGAGCGGTGGTGGCTGAGGGCGACGTAACCTCTCTACCTGTCCTTGCTTTTCACAGAGCAGTGTCTCATCACGGAGACATGCTGTTTGTGCCAGTTTTCTGGGATCCAGGCTCAATTACTTTGTTTAGGTAGTTGCTACTTTCAAATGACATTAACTATATGTTACTGAAGTTTGAACTATTTGTAGTTATTTCATTGGAAAGCTGTAACTGTTCTTCTAAGCGAGGTTTTCCATGTGTTTTTTATTTTCTGCATGGAATACTTGGCCAACTTAGAAGCCCCTGGAAGTCATCGTTTATGTGTATTCAATTGAATTTCTTTCAGAGGCTGTAAGCAGTGGTCTCTACACACTGTTTTTGTATTGAGTATATTTCAACCTCTATCCAAAAAGGTTTAATTAAATTTATTCGTCCCAACTTCAGCAGTTACTGTGGTGCCAGGCATCAAGCAAGGCTCGTGAGCTTGTTGTCCTCTTCTTTCAGTGGTGACTATTTGGAGGAAACATCAAGGACGAAAGGAGAAAATACCCCAAATGATGTGCAGATAGCAAAGGTCTAAATTTGGCTCAAGGATTGAACTGGAGAAGAGGGAGGGGGAGGATGGTTACCCCTGCAGTTGGATGCCGGGTGCCATAGTTCCAGGGTTTCTTTAATGTCTTCAAAGAGCTGTGAAGCGTGTAGCCAAAACGTGACTGAAACAAATGAAGATAGCAGCCTGCTACTACCACCTTAGTCTCATAGGGCACCAGCAGCAGATCTGCATTGCTAAAGCTAGGCTTTGCAGCCATGCAGGCATCAGTATGGTACCATGTAATGGGATTTTAATTTTAATTAGCTAAAAAATACAGTAAATTACAGGGTTTGATTGGTTTTTAACCATCATTTCTATTAAAGAATATTAATATATTCTTTGAAATCAAACACTCAACTTTGAAAGTCGAGCATTCAAAAAAAGTTGGAAGATGTCAGAATGAAGATTGTTCAAATTGTTTTAATTTGTCCCTTGCATGTATGCATAATGATAAGATCTTTAATTATGTGATCACATAATTTTTTCACAGGAGGAACGGTGCCCAGAGAATGTAACAGGGGTGTTTATTAAAGGAAGCTCTTGCCTCCAGAACCCTCGTCTTAATCGCTGGAAAGCGTAGTAATTTAAGTAGAGGGGTGCAGGAATCAAAAGCATGCTCTCTGAGGCATTTGAAAGCTTCAGTGAAAGACTGGCGTTTATTCTCGCTCTTTCAAGGAGTTTTTATGTGATTCTGGAAGGTCACTTATTTTGGAGGTGATCTCTCTGTTTCTAGTTGCTGTGGCACGCAGGCCGAGGTACCTGGGCTCTGAGCACAGCTGCATTTGGAATGAACACAAGTGTGCTGTGAATATATAAAATGCTGTATAAATGCAAAGTCCTCTGAAAAGTAAGGCCTGAAATGCCTTACACTGATGTGGTAATGCCAGGATCGCCAAAAGAACCCTCTAGTTTTAAGTAGCCAGTTTTTTTCTCTGTAAAATGGAGATACCATCACCTTACTACAGTTCAGTTAATTGTATGTTTTGAAGCATTCCTGCTGAATGCCATGTAGGGAAATTATGTATAATATATAGTTTTAATATATATAAATATATAATAAAAAATCTCTAATATAATATACATAATATATAATAAGGAATCCCATTTTGGCTAACATCCTATAAGTGAGGCTTTGGGAACACTGCTGGCTGATGGGGATAAAAAGAATGAGCAATCGCTCTGCAGTCTGAAAAAATGAGGCAGGATCCTACAAATACTCAGTTCGCTCCATAAAATTGAGCGTTCCCTGCGTATTTGCCATCACTGCACTAGATGAGGCAAGGATCCTATAGAGGGAAAACAGCATGTAATCATTTAGATATATGGATGTTTCCATCATTTTAAGTGCTTGACTTTCTGCTGCATTTAGTGTGCGGGTTGCCTGGCCATCCCAAATGTGCCAAGCCCTTTTAGACGCAGGTTTGGCAGTTTAGTTCCCCCAAAGCTCTTCATAAGAGGAAAACAGGAATGTTAGAGCCAGATTTCTCGCTGATTTTATTGTGTTTCCTTGCTGACAGCTGATCATTGGTGCAAGGAACCAAAATCCCAAAGACCATTTGTTCCTCGCTTTTTATGGAGAAGGAGGAGTTCTTAATTTTTGCAGAGTTAGCACATGAGTGAGTGTAGTAAGAATGTATGAAAATATTTCAAGGTAAATAGAGCCCTAATGAATAGATTATATTTAAAATAAAAAAATATATGAGGAGGAAAAGAAGAGATGGTTTTTCTCCACACGTGTAATTCTTCAGGACAAACTTTCTGATTCTATTTTTGTTTTCCATGAAAACAACTCTAAATCTGCTATGAGGGTTTCCACTTAATTTCCCAAGCTAAACAGGAAATGTATTTTTCAAAAAATCAAGTATTTATTATCTACATTACTGAAATCTGAATTTATGCCTATAATTTTTGATCCTGGCTCTTACTGGTCTCCTTTGCATGTGGCAAAGGTAAATACGTTGGTGTTTTGTATTAATAATCCTCCACATCTAAGCATCACAGTAAAACCCAGTTAAGACAACAAGCTAAAATAATTTTTCCACTTCCTCCTGTTTTATGTCTGTTCTTAGACTTTCTTAAAGTTGCATTTACCATTTCTCAGGCAAATAAATTCATAAATCTCTTCTGCTTTGGTGAGGGAATACATGTATGTCTTGTCTTTCACACAACATTGCAGCATCCCTTACAGTACCTACTTCGCTTTGCAAAATCAGTTACAGAATATAAAGTGAAGATCAATTTATCAATTGAAATGGACCACATACTAGTCTTTAGGCAATTTTCCTAAATTTGTTGTCGTAGAAGAGGTTGATACCATAAATAGCGGGGCGTTACTACATTTTTCAGATAACACTATATGTATAAAATACGGAAACATGGAATGATTGTTTTAAATTCAAAAGGCTCTTTTGTCATGCTTACACATGTTCTAGAAGTCTAGAGACATTTTTCTTCTGAATTGGAAGGAAATGAAACAGTAGCCTGTCAGTTCATAATGTTACTCACTTTCCCTGCTTAAATGCATTTTTAAAATGACTAGAATATCTACTTTAAAAAAAAATAGCTAACTTCAGTAGAGAATGAGTCTAGTTTGCTATTTATCTACCTTAATAGGCAGGAGTTCATGTGAAAGAATCAGTCTGGCTTCTCGTGTGCTAACAGTGACAGGATGCAGGTATCATAAAGTAGCATGATTATGTGCCTCCCAGGTATAATTCTGATAACCACTGAAGGAGTACTGCAGCCAAGATGAGTCTTGTTAGTTTATTTATCCATAAATTTATTCTCTTTCTTAAACTGTATTTTGAAGCATTTCAGTAAGAAGTTCAAACTTGGCAGTGAAGAAGAAATACACATATAGATATAAATGTTTAATAGTTTAACTTCAGTGTGAGTAACAAGACATTTCAACAGATTGTGAAAGTCATTTTTTTCTTAATACGTAATCCTTACAGTTTAAATTGAAATGGCTGTAACTGATCTTTTGTGCTTACAAATGAAGACTATTTTAATAATCTGCTCCCATATGACAGAAACATATATATCGTCATGTAATCCTTTGTCCACAAGACTCTCGCAATATGTTCTCCAGGCTGAAAAAATAGAGTTATTACCTTTTCGTGGTAGCTGGGGAAAATGTTATGTGAGAGTTCCATTCAAAGTCATGTCTGAGATTTTTCCTTTCACGTTCACCTGCTGAGTCTTTAGCGTGATCTTTGGGTGTAACTGTAAGAGCATTTTAGCTTGGATCGGGAGCACTTTAGCCCTTCCGAATCAAATCTCCTTATTGTTTCCATTTATTGCTATGTGTTGCTCCTTGATTCACATCCCCAGAGCATGGGGGTGGCATCAGTTACAGGAGGAGCCAGTGAGAAGACGGACTGGCTGTGCAGAGCTGGCGCGCATACCTGCGGACAAGGGCTGGCTCGGTGGGACTGGACAGGAGCGGTGAGCTGCCCTCTGCGCAGCGTGCCCAGCCTGGGGTTGCGTGGTCTTCAGTGCCAGCTGTTTCCCTGCAGTTTTGTTCCCACTGATTGCTACATACGTACAGCCCATCCTCATTATACATGTCTGTCTGTAACAAAATGTTGTTTATCAGTATTAAGTGTTTCGGAGACTGTTGATCAGGCCATAATATTCTTAAAGGAAACATACAATAATGCTGGTATCCAAATTGGAGTGATCCAGTTGGAAGCCTGATGCTTCAGCGTGGCCCAGAAGACAACTCTGGAGTTGTCTGCTGCCTTTTCTTGTGCAGCCTTACCTCTCACTTTTGCACACCCAGCGTATCGTGGTTCCTAGCAGTGGTGGAAGCCCAGCAGCTGTCAGATGTCTCCTTGTGTGCTGCCATTATGTCCAAGTTGCTCACAAGCCACTGTCATCCCCGTATGGAAAGAAGAAATAACAATATGACTCCATAGAGATGCCCCAGATGTAGCATCTAGCCACAGTACTGAAAGCTTTGGAGCTCCATGCTGTAAATTAAGAGTGTATTGATCAGTATTTTGCTTCTTTTCTGTCCGCAGTTACCAATTACAATAACGTGGTAGAAGCAAACTCAGATTCAGATGATGAAGATAAATTGCATATAGTGGAAGAAGAAAGTGTAACTGATGCAGCAGACTGTGATGCTAGTGTGCCAGAAGATGACTTGCCAACAGACCATACAGTATTACCAGAAAACAGTGAAAGAGAAGGGAGTACAAACAGTTGCTGGGAAGATGAAGGTATGTTCATTTTCACTGATGATGTTATGTAGAGAAAGGTTTCTAAAAAGGTTTGATAGAACATTTTTTTGGTCACTTTGTTACTGAAATAACATGTAATAGTCACAATCAAAAAAGAGGTTTTCTATTGTGTTTACTGTAATATATTTTATGTTCTTTATTTAATATTTGAGGCAGATTTTGAGGTGCATTCATTCTACTTGCATTGTTAAACGGGAGCTTCAAATCTGTGGATGCAGCATTCTCAAGGGTGATCAGAAACTAGTTACTTGCTTTTAGTTTTTCCAAGTCTTTTTGCGTGGCACGTCTCTGCCATAGCTCCCGGTAAGGTTCAGGGTTTGCTCAGCTTGGGGAGTAAGCAGTAAACCAAAAACATGAAACAAAATAATATTCAGATGTAAATTTCTCCCTGTGAGCTGCTTCTGACTTTTCTCTTGTAAAATATAGCCAGAAAAAATAACTTTTAGATTATTAGTTTTAGAATTGGCTGTCTTACTCGTAATGAATCTGTGTTTTGAAAACAGTGGAAGGAGGTAAATGTTGTACATAGTATGCAGCAGCTTTAGAAGCTAAAAATTTTAAGCCATCAGGAAATGGGCCTTTTTTTTTACTGTGGAATCAGACACTGCATTTCATAATATCACATGGCATGCTTACTTTTGAGCCAAATGGGCATAAATGCATAAATTAGTGGAATTTATTGTGGAATTTGGCCTTACTCCCCTGAAAGATACAGAATATTTTCCGGTATATCCCTGTTTGTGTCTGAACTCCAGCCACAATTCTATAGCATCCACCTTGTTAAAACTGGTGTTTTAAGACAAATTGCATGACCTCACATCTAAGTGAACAGAAAGCAGTCATATGGTCCCTAACTGCAATCCAGCTGAGAGAGAGCAGCTGAGTTCAAAGAATAGCATCAACTCAGACTGTTTTTACATAGCTGCTATTGCCAAGGTATGCTGTGCAGGGAAATGAGTATTTTGGAGCTCAATTATTAGCTAGGTAATTTTCTTAGTTCTCCTATAATATCTTTGCTCTACTGCAGGCTATATCTATCAGGAATTGCAGTTACATAAAAATGGGCTGTGTGTAGAGTATTTCTTAAACCCTGTGTAGGAAACCTGAAATAGGGAGTGAAGAGCAGCACTGGCTCACGGAGGTGCTGGGCCAAGACCTTTTGGACTTAACGTTTCCTGGAGATGTACCTACAGGTAGTCATGACACAGCGTCTTGCCTCAGACAACCTTCTGGGGTTTTTCAGAGCTCTAGATGTGCGGTGGCATCTTTTTTGACTCCTTATTTCAAATGTACCAATTTGTAACCTTTTAAAATTTGTTTGCTAAAATGAAGCATTTGAACCAAATTCTACTGTGATTGTAGAATCACAGTGTAGGCAGTGTTTTCTCTGCCTTGGTCATTGCTGATGAAGATAGGCTTTCATCAGTGTTTAGACAGACAAAAGATTAAACACTTGCCATGCAGGCTTGCTCAAACTACCATAAATTTCTTCTGTAAAAATTATGCGTTCTGAAGCCTCTTTTGTAGCAGTCTGGAGGGTTTTAAAATAAATTGTTTGAATTTTTGGCAATGACTACATGAGAAAAATGAAGGCTACGTTAGGTTTTATGGAGCTTTGATTTGCTATGGTAAAGTACTATTTACTTTTTTATAGCTTTCCTAGAAAGAAAGGTGTGAGCTGAAAATGTTATCATCAGTCTTGCTTGCACATTAAAAATTGGAGAGAGAGGTATTGAATACATGATCTCTCTTATACAGGGAAAGGTGCTGGGGTAGGTGCCTGTGCAACACTAATATCTTCAGGACTGGTGATTATTTTTAGAAAACATACACTACAGCAGTTTTAGTAAGTTGTGTTTCATCAGTAAAGTAGTACTGAAAGTTCCTGGTTTTAGCTGAACTTGACAGAATGATTTTTTTACATATTTATTCTGCTCACGAATGCCCAAGAATAGAAACAACACACGTAACATTTCTTTATCAGATTAGTTTCCTTCCGTTTCCAGTCACTCTAACTGAATTTCTAAAAGACCTTTGGAACAGGTGTTTTAAATATAAGGTGTGTATCTCAAGAGGTTTAACTGAAAGTCATACGAGTTTGAAAAAGTGAACCACATGTATCCTGCACAAGTTGTTGGCAGTGTGCCAGCATTCATGTGTGCAATGATTCTCTAATATGATTTTTTTCATTTAAAGTAAAACCCACATTACAATTAAAAAAAAAAAAAATAAGCAAAAGTTAAACTTATTGACTTAATATATTAATACATTTTAAAAGCTTTATTATGTATTATAAGTATTTAGCAAATCTAGAGTTCTCAGACCCGGTATTAAGATATCATCTTTGAAAAAAATGAAAATTTAAAAAAAATTGTCCAGACCTTGAAAGAACCCTTAAAAATTAATGAAGATATGTTTAAGCTCTTCCTAGAACTCAAAAATTCCTTTAACTCATAAAATTTTGGGTTGAGCCTATGTGCTGTAAGACAGATTGTGTTCTTCCAGTGTGGTGGGTTGCTGAGGAAGGTTGCTGTGCTATTTTGTATTAATTCCTTTTGGGACAAAGGCTAAAAAAGTGTAGCATCTTTTTGATCAAGTTTTTACTTGAAGCAAACAATCAGGCAATACTGTAAGCTGTAAACAGTGCTTGCTACATGCATATCAGAAAATTAGCTCTAAAAAATTTAAATTAGCAACTCTTTTGATGGGCTTTGGAATTTATTCTCTTCTCTGAAGATAAGACTGCGGTGGAAATTTCAGTGAAGTTTGTCTTTCTGCCTACAACCAAAATTTCCATTATGCTAACGGTTTAAATTTGATTGGTTATCTTACCCATGCAGAGATCTTTACAGTCAGCCTATGACACAGTGATTGTGTCTTGCATGTTCGCTGCTAGTACACACTGTTGCCTGTGATCTGAAAATCATTAGCATTTAACCCTAGGAAGTCCCACCGTATCTCTAAGCAGCTGCTCACAAGCAGTGATGAGATACAGAAGCCCAAGAACATGTTTTACAATTATCTGGTTTGTCCAGATGTAATGCCAAGAGGGATATTCATGCCCTAGATGCTATTCTTGGAGACCTGTATTTAAGCGGTCATTCAGCAGGTAGCTCAAATTTCTTCTGGAGTTCAGAGCTGTGACTTCTGCTTGGTGGAATGGTGTCTTAAGATCTGTTCCCCATCATCATGTCCCTTTCCCTTGCTTCCCAGCAGCTGTATTTGCAGCGTGGTAATTGGGCTTCTGAGGGCACAATTGCAAAGTTGCCTTCCTATGTGGACCATACGTAGCTATAAAGACGAAGCTCTACTTAATGTTTTTCACATAATTAATTATTCCTACAGCATTTAAGAAGACCACCCCCTGTGGAAAGGGCTCCTGCCTGTCTTACACCCCACTTTTAGATATTGGGAAGACACAGTACCAAACAGAGGTTATGATTATTAGAGTTGAGAGGGTTTTTAACTTCACTGACATTAATCTATAATGCCATAAATTCCTTGACATTCCCTTGGGAAGCATAGCTTTTATTTGTACTGAACCCAATGGAATTTGCTAGAGACACTATAATTTAAATTTCTATGAGTAAGAACTTACCGATATTCCCCCTTTCCATAGAGCCTGTTTCATAATGGAGAAAAATCACAAACCCTTTTTAAAGAAAAGTGGCGCGTTTGCATCCTACTTGTTTTTAAGAAATTAAATTTTGAGTTTAAATTTGCATTGCATGCAGTCATCCATCTTAGAAATTCTGAACCAAATTTGTGGTATCATGAGCCAAAAATATTATCAGTTCACAGCCAGTATTGACCAATAAAATGTGGACCGTTTGGGGGAGCGGCGGTTAGATGACAAATAAAATTAAAGTAAGATTTAAGAGTTACAGTTTCCTTTTAAGCATATTTCTTGATTGTGACTATTCAGATATTTGGGGTCTGTGGAATTTTATCAAAGTAGACAGAATTAACAATCTTTTCCTTTGAGGAAGCTGGTATTATCTGAGAACTGAACGTTCTCCTAGAATTTATCATCTTCCATATAAAGGAGAAATTGGATTCTCCTGTAATTAAAAAGCTGGAATGTCCTGGGGTTTTGACTAGCCAAGCCAAAGGATTTTTCCCTGCACTGGAGTGAAATAAGGTAAACAACAGTATAACATTTGCCATTTCAAATCATAGCAGTTGTATAGTCTGACCTCCTGTATCATGAAAGGGTCTTTTTCTGCAGTGTAGCTCTGAAGCATCTAAGGTTTCCATAATAAAACTATGAAGTAATTCTTTAATTTCACATGTATTAGCATAGCATACTACTGATAAAGGAGTGAAACAACCAACATAGCTTTCCTATGCATTCCTGCAATAAGCCAGAGGTGCCAGCAGCAGCCTTTCCAATAGGAACTTCCCAGCCTAGGCTACCCAACAAACATAAATTAGGAACAACTTGGGCCGTTGATGGATTTGAACCAACAACCTGTAGTGAGTTAAAAGTTCCATGCTGCATCCTTGAGCGCTGCAGCTCAGCAGGAGCTGCTGGAGCTTCAGAGGCAGGTAGGCTCCACAGCATCAGTTCTACGCACATCTGGTATCTGCAAACTCGTATTGAATATTGGAATTGATATGTGAAACATTTTTGTAGTGCACAGCTGATCTGAAGTGGGGAGCATGTGTTTAAAATCCTTGTTTGTTTAAGAAGTCACAGCCTATAAGTGGTTTCTAGAAGATTTACAAGAAAGAGAACGCATTAGGTAGCTGTTTGCAGACATTACCAGCAAATTCTCAATCATTTCTGAAAACTGCTAATTGGAGAAAATAATGTAAACTTATTTGTTTTATGATACTCTGGTTTCCAGAAATAATATTCCAGTGTATCAGATAGCTGTGTTTCTAGATAGGGTTATTTAAGTAGCTGAATCTTTATTTGCTGGAGAAACACACTGTCCCTGTCTTTACCTCTCTTCAAATAATGGTTAGCGTTTAGTATTGCTTCCTTTTAAGATTTAATTTCTTTAACCATGGATTATCTTTGTCATTCAACACACTGCTGAAATAATGTGCAATCCATATTTTTGAAAGAACATTGGTTTTAAATGCAGTTCTTCTAAACAATACAGAAATGGAAAAAATTGCTGAAGAAATAACTCAAATATATTAGGCTGTTGTGTGTGTGGCATTTTTTTGTTGGTGTGTTTGGTTTTTTTTAAATATTCATTCTTCTTTCTGTGAAATGTACTATTTCAGCTGGAAAAGAAACAAAGGAAATCCTGGGGCCTGAAGCTCAGACAGATGAAGTTGGATGTACAGGTATTATTTTGTTAATCTGAGTCCCTTATTCATAAAGTGCTATTGAATTTTGGCTAGGTGAGTATCCTTCTGAAATCTTTGAAATTCTCTGACCTCTCTTTATAAACCGCTTTGCTCTTCCACACTAGAGGTCTTTAACGGTAAGCAGCGTTTTAGCTGAGGAGGAAGAGCCTGGGCTCCTTTCAAAAGTCCTGGGTGCGGAGATGTCACTGGCCAGTGGCACAGAGGAGTCCTCTCGCGTGAGGGCTGACCCCAGCACCGCTGCAGCACCATTGCATCTCCTAAGAGCAAAACAAGGGATGGCGCTGATCTTACCTGTAATTGTAGAGAATACAAGTACGGGTCAACAGATAGTGTTTTAAACTAGTAAGTAATGTACCAAATTAAACTTGAGCTAATACTGCATCTTCTTATCAACTCCTCTGTTTCTACTGATTATACAGAAGGCAAAATAAAATGTGTACCTCAGTTTCAGAACCAAACAAAAACAGATGCTTTGTTCTTTCTCTGGTTGACAGAAAATTTAACATATGGCCCATCCAGCTTTTTAAAAGATTTTTAGACTTTTTTGGGTTTTAATGGCCTTAACAGTAAATAGTTAGATATTATCAGGGTAAGCCTTATTTGGAAAAAAAATGAAAAAAAAAAAAAAGACAAAAAAACCCCAAAACCTAAACAATGATATTTTAAAAATTGTAGATTCACACACTCTTTTTAGTTACTATAAAGTCAGATCTCTCCAAACAGTTGTGGAGAACTACATTATGTATTGCATTACAGTCTATATGTGAGACTGCCTCGTGTCATAAAAAGATTGTGTCAAATTGTAAACTGAGTATGTGATTTCACACTGAAAGATGAATCGTAAAACTTCTCCTTCCTATTAAAAATATACCTCACATTATTGATAGTGGAGAAGATCTGTCATGATTTAGTGTGCCACAGGCAGAGCTCTCACAGAATGTTCCACCATGGTGAAAGTACTCTATGAACAATGTATTTAGGCAAATACTTGATAGCAAATATTTATCATACAAATGTTAAGTAAAATATTTAATTTATTATTTGTTAATTTTGAAATACAGTTGTTCATTGATTGTTTTCTTAAGTTTTAAACTGGAAAATGTTGAAGGATGTTAACTAGATCTGAAGCTTTTTTGATAGCCATTTCCAACACTGGAGAACAAGCCACTCAAAGTTCAAGTTCACTGCATTTCAGCCAGCCAACTTGTTATTCAGAGTTTAAATATCTTCTGGGCTTGCACTAATGAACAGGTCTTAAATAACATTAAAAATTATGTCTTGAAGGCAACAGATTTACTTTTGCAAACGTAGGAGCTAAGATGGTAAGCTGGCCTTCAGACTACAAGGGCTAAATCATAATTAACGGTGCATTTAAGATTTTTAGGGAAGTTGAGGGGAACAGCTAAATCTAAAATGATAAAAATGCACTGACTTGAAGAGGCAAACTGTGGTTTTAGTCAGATTTTTAAATGTCATTATGCCACTGGTTCTCTCTTTTAAAACTTGGCATATTCCTGAATCTTAAAGGGCTTTACCCATACTAGTATTTGTAAAGAGTTTTGAAATCCTTGGATAGAGGTTGATTTGGCAATGTGAATTACTGAATCTCATTTACGTTCTTTTTAAACTCTTCGTTTCATATCTTGGATCTTGTTTTTCATTCTTAGTAAAAGAAGATGAATGTGATTCTGATGCAGAAAATGAACAAAACCATGACCCTAATGTTGAAGAATTCCTTCAACAAGAAGATACAGCTGTTATCTACCCTGAAGCACCTGAGGAGGACCAGAGACAAGGCACACCAGAAGCTAGTGGTCAGGATGAAAATGGTAAATATGCCACCAGTTCAGTTCTTACAAAATAAATTGTACTAACTACTTGAGCCAAAAGTTCTGTTGTATTTTAGAAGACAATAATGCATACACATGTGACTTTGGGGGGGGAAATCTTAGTTAAATAATTATAAGAAGATGGGATCATCATACAAAAAACATTACTACTTGATTTTGTGAAACAAGACAAGCGCTGGAGTTCAGTAGTATGGGTACCTAAATGATAACCTCAAGTAAGGAAATAAAAATTCAAGCTTTCATAAATCTATTTGGTAGCATTATATGAAAGAACAGAACAAACATTTATTAAATATAATGGGAGTGAAGCAAGATAGTGTGGTTTTATGTAAGACTTAACTTTGGGGGAGTTATAACATCTTTCTTTTCTTTTTATATTTCTAAACAAAATGCCCAAAAGGATCTATTAGATAGGAGTTCTTTTATTAGGTAGCCAGTCTATGACAGGCTTTTTTTTTTTCCTCTTCCTGAAAAGACAGCAATGGAGAAAAAACAAACGTTGTTTATACATAAATATTTATGTCAAAAAATAATGACCAGTTGTTATTTTTAAGTAGATGTCTGTTTTCTCTGAGGAAGTTTCATGCTTAAGATGTTCTTCTGAGTGAAATAAGTCATACTTTGTTCATTTCTTCATCATGAAACATTGAAGGCATCTTCATAATGAAATATTTGAAGGCAAAACCTGTTCAGACTGGTTTGGCGTTCTGTGCTGCTTTCTGAAGTGTTCAGCTTTCATAACCTGTGACAACTGCAGTTTCAACTAGATTGTGTTCCTTTATTGGAGCACTTAAGATTTTTCAAAAGAAAGTAACATCCTACATAAAGGGTTAGGACTGTTTGTGTTCCAGTTGTTTAAAAAAGATTTATATAATTGAACTTAAAATGTCATTGGAACTGTATTACTGTACTGGTATCTAAGGGAGAGCAGTGAAAGGGGTAATGCTAACAATTTTGTTCTGCTCTTCCAGAGATTTTATGGTATTAGAGATTTTAGCAAAAAAGTAAATTAAAATATTTGAGAAATTTAAACTGTGTACATGCCTATTTATATACAGAAATAGGACCTGAATTACTAATATTTTGTGGTTTACTTTACAAGTTTTGCAAAATTCAAGCAAGATATATGCTCAACAGTAGCATCTTAAAAATTATAATTTAAGATTTCAATCTGTGTTTGCAGTGGCACAGATTGTCAAGTTAGTTCTACAGCCTTGCAATATGATTTCCATGTAATCATTAAAAATACACATTTGTTTTAATAATTTATATGAGACCTAGCCCAATAAGTTCACAAGGAAGTATTCTGAAAATCACGATGCTGAACAATGATGTTAAACATTGTAATAATTTGGAACAGAAAATGCCAAAATAATGTAGTTATATTTGCTAAAGATACATGCTTCCAAACTGGGGGACTGAACAGGAGAAGTGACAGAGAATTAGAGTCATCAGTGGCTTTGGGAAACCATTGCCACTTCACCATTTGCTCCAATGGAAACAGAATTTAAGTTAATGTGTTTCTGATGTTTCCACTGAGTTGTATTTGTGCTGAAATGGAATATTCTTTATGTCAGGTGAATTGAATTGTAGATGGAAAAAAGGGGATTGAAGGGAAGCATACTGTGACTACACATGTGGGGAGAGGTTCATTTTTGGACAACCTGGCTAATCCAGGAAGAGCAAAAGGGGGTGGAACAGCAGAAAAACCAGTGCAATACGAGTGTTACCTTGCCTGTTACCATAACAAGTGTAAAAGAACCTATATGACAGAGAAGGTGGTTTTTAGTAATAAAGAAAACTGGTCTGACTCTTCTTTTCCTTTTCACTGTTGCAAGAACAATGGTACATTCAGTAAAAATAAAGTCAGTAAATTCCACACAAACAGAACGAATTGCTACTTTATAGAGCATATAATCAATCTATGGTGATAACTGCTGGAAGAGGTCATGAAGATAAATAATTCAGAAGTACTTTCTAAAGTACTGGTTAATTTTATGGGTATTAATAATGCTTATAGTTCTGCAACTTAAAATGACAGTGCTTACAGATTTGTCCCTTGTGCTTCAGAGCATAAAATGATAATCAGGAAAGACCTTCCACCTTCCTCTCCTGCTTTCTCTCAGAACAGTGCATAAGTGCATCCTTGCAAAATTTTCTTCCCATTTCCCCTGAAGCATGGAAGAGTAGCATGGTCATTGGAAGATACCACACCTTATAAATTGATAGTTTGATCAAATACGGCAAACTCTACATTTATTTAAACACACTTTTATCAATTTATAAAGAAAGATTTTTTTTTCAATCCTTTAAAAATTAATTTTTCAAGGATAGAATAAGTTACTATATATGGGGGATAATATATGCTGATAAGAAGAGATGGAGTTAAAACTCCATAAATGGTGACTTCTCAGAAGTAGACTTGTGAAATTAATATTCAGCTTCAATATGATTTCACTTTGTCCTGTACTGATATAGAAGTAACTTCATGAAAGCCAGCAGCATAGATTCCGTAGATCACATTAGAATCATATTTATGGCTTCACATTTGATCTCTCTCCTTTCTGTCCTGCTGACAGTATGTCCTACTAACAGGTACATATCTGTGTATCATAGAACCATAGAATGGTTTGGGTTGGAAGGGACCTTTAAAGATCATCTAGTCCAACCCCCCTGCAATGAGCAGGGACACCTTCAACTAGATCAGGTTGCTCAGAGCCCCGTCCAACCTGACCTTGAATGTTCCCAGGGATGGGGCATCTACCACCTCTCTGGGCAACCTGTGCCAGTGTTTCACCACCCTCACTGTAAAAAATTTCTTCCTTATATCGAGTCTGAATCTACCTTCTTTTAGTTTAAACCATTACCCCTTGTCCTATCACTACAGGCAGTGTTAAGAAGTCTGTCCCCACCTTTCTTATAAGGCCCCTTTAGGTACTGGAAGGCCACTACAAGGTCTCCCCAGAGCCTTCTCTTCTTCAGGCTGAACAACTCCAACTCTCTCAGCCTTTCCTCATAGAAGAGGTGTTCCTTCCCTCTGATCATTTTTGTGGCCCTCCTCTGGACTTGCTCCAGCAGGTCCAGGTATAAGAATTATAAGCCATGTTTCTACTAATTTTTTTTTTCAGTTTTCTTTTCAGTTACAATTCTGTTAGGTAAAGAGAAAGAAAAAATATTCTCTGCAGCTTGCAAACATTATTTATTCCTTAGGAGCTGAAAACAGGGTGACTATTAGATGTTTCAGTGATAGACTTAAATTTGTAAACAGGATTTGAGGATTGTCTGTGATTGAGCTAACCAGATCTACAAAGATTAGTAGATCTTAAACCATGTTTCACAATTTTCAGACCACTTTTTAAACAGAAATACACATATAGAAGCTCTACTGCTGTATTGGGAAGTCCAGCAGACTCACTGCGAGGTGTTTTGGGTAATCGTATTGTGATGATTCTCTCCAGCGAACACTGGGGCAACCATACCATATTGTAGTTAGTAACATAATACCTGTGGAAAAAAAATAAATTATCATTAGTCCTTTTCTAAAATAGATGGAGCGTCTACCAACTGCATGTTTTCTTACAGTAATATATGTAAATGTAAAGCATGTTTGTTGATGGTAATAAGTTTGGAACTTACATTTGTTTAAATATGGTGTATTGTCTTTCCTGTGTAGGAACACCCGATGCATTTTCCCAACTGCTTACTTGCCCATATTGTGATCGAGGGTACAAGCGTTTTACCTCTCTGAAGGAACACATTAAATATCGCCATGAAAAAAATGAAGATAACTTTAGTTGCTCCTTGTGCAGCTACACGTTTGCATACAGAACGCAGCTCGACCGCCACATGACATCACACAAATCAGGAAGAGATCAAGTAAGTGGCATCTGAATTAAGGATTTAGCATCCTCTGTAACAATGCTGTGATGTGTTATGTGAGCAAAAATGTACAGAGCAAGTAAGCTGTTCACATCAGATTATCTACATGCTGAAGTCCCAGTCCCAGAAGTCAGACTTGTTCCATAAATGTCAAAGGATGAGATCTGAATTACTGTATTTTCATTCATCTAGGCAGTGTGGTTGGGTTTAAATTTTAGTTTTCGGAAGTGCTTTATTGCATTTATAGGTAATTAGGTTTTGTCTGTTCATTGGCTAACATTACATAAAAATTGTGACTCAAGTCTAATTTCAAATCTTTAGTGAAATGCATTTTCCTGTCATAGATCCTGTTTGGCTAATTCAAAATTTGCTGTACCCATTTTTGCCCTTATGAAACAAACCACTGGGTTGATTCATTTGCTTGAACTGTGAGATACAGTTTTTAAATGCAATCCATGCTATAAGACAATATAGAAAAAATTTGTGCATAAAATACAACACTTTAGTACTAAATTAAGCAACAAAAAGGGCTAAAGATATTCTGAGCTTGTTTTCTCTGGTTCATGGGTTGACCTGAGGGCACAGTTCCCTGAAATGCCTTCCATGATTTAGCCATCTGAGAATCTGTTCCCCCCTCCCTTTTTTTCTTTTCTTCTTTTACCCCCACAATTTCCTATCATCCATCCCCAATTACATGCTTCCATAGCTTATCAGAGGCACTCTGAGGCTCAGGAACTGACTGAAACTCACTGAAATAGCCAGGAATTGGCCAAGGAAGAAAGATACAGATTTTCCACCACCAGGTTGTAGAGAGAGGCTTGGAGATGTTCCCTTCTAAGGACAGACTAAAAAGATTGATGCTCTCCAGAGAAGAAACAGGAGAGAAACATCACAGAAAGATGCAAAACCGTGAATAGTGAAAAGAATGTAAAAGGAAGGGTACTTCAATATTTCTTGCAGCTCCAAACCAACAGATCTTTCATTAAACTGAAAGGCTGTAACAGAGTAAAGGAGATGCTTTTTTACGCATTGCATGTTAACCTCCATTCTACAAAGTATCACCAAGTCCAAGAATTTAGCAGGCTTAAAAATTTATTATACATTTTTATACCTGAATGTTTATTTTCACAGGTAAATTAAATAGGAAAAATTGTTACAAGAAGTATTGGCCATCCTGCTACAGGGATTTTACTGTCTCACAGGGTTTGGAATAACCTCACCAGTGTATTCTGGCATGGCAGTTCTTATTTATTCAAATATATTTCCCATGAACAATTAATTTCTTTTGCTTTCTTATTGGCTTGGCTTCCACTTTAAAGTGACTGTCGTCTTGTATACATCTTACATTTCTAACTATAAAATCTATGAATGCTTTTTGTAGAATGCTTTCTTGTGAGCTACCACGTTTATTTTCAGTTTTTCCAACTAGAAGCCTAAAAGCAGAAGAATAAAGTAGTTGGAGGGGCTAGAAGCCTCTCCTATATTTGCATGTAGTTTGAATGAAAAGACAAAAAATACCAAGCAAGTAAACAATCTCAGAAGAATTGCTACAAAGGGAAGCTTAAATTGTATTTCTGCAGATATATTTTAATGGGTTTATACTTTTGAAGGCACAATTGTATTTGATAAATGTTGTTTCTGTTAAGTATCTGGAACTCAATATTATACCAGTTTAAGTGTATTTTTTCTCTAGAGCCATAGCCAGAATCAAAACTACAATAGTTCAGATACTTGGTAAATTTAAAACATGTATTTGTTGATGTTATTGTCACAAAGTTGTCATGTCTTCAGAATCGGCTTCATGTGCATGTACATGGTTAAATCATTTGTATAAAGGAAAATTAACTTTTTTCCATAGTAAAGTATAGGCTTCCTGGTTGTGGATCTTAAACAGCTGCCTCTTCAAAACTTAATGTCTTATTCTTAAAGGACTTCACGTGAAAGTAGATTATTTGGATAACTTTGTTAGCTGGTTAATGTCCGGCATGTGACCATTTCGTAGTTGTTCTGTACAAGGAAGCAACAAGCAAAGATAATATCTAGAGTAGTGAAGGTAGGGGAAGAGGTGTGTGCACACTATGCCTCCCTCTGAGGAAGGGGGAAATATGCCAAACTGCAGCTCCTTCTGCTCCAGCGGAGAGCAGAGGGCCGTCCTGCACCTCCTCCTTCATCCGTCCCTCCTCCGTCCCCGGCGTCCATCACGGCTCCCCTGGCTGCTCCTACACTACTAATGGTTGGTCTGAGGTGGTGCTGCATACGCATCATCTGCTTTCACATGTGAAGCACCAAAAAAGATGTTGAAGTATGAACAAGTGCTTCTCATACGTGTTTTCTTTTTCTTCTCATCAATTTACAAAGCACCTGTAGGTAGTCTGTGAAAATTTTATATTGCTGTGGACACTGCTGAGAAATGGCAGCTCTTGAAGACCATGGTCAAACCATCTGTGAAAAAACCCTGATGTACCTGTAATTCCTGTCTTCCAGATAACTTTTGAAGATTCCCATTAATAAGTTTTGGTTCTCTGGTATGAAAAGAGGGGACTTTAGTCCTAAGCAAAGTAAATGTTTGATGCAGGGATATATTAGTGGCTAGTTACAGACCTTAATGTTTCTTCTTTCAGTCCTTAAAGGAATGCAGAGGAGTTTTCTTTGAATGCTGTGGTTAATTCTTTAATGAGCAGAAACCAGCAGTTATGTATGGTGCATCAAAAATATATCACACATCAGAGGCACAAAAAAATTGTGGATGTAGCACAAAAAATGTGGATTTAGCAGTACTGAAAGGGGGAAAAACATTTGAATCTGAGAAAATGAAGGTGAAAGAGTATCAAAGATGGTACTTTAGAGAAGAGTTATGATTCCAGCTAGTTTTAAAGAGCCTGGAGAGTAACTCTGAGGATGTTTCAGATTTGTAAAAAAGATGAGTATAGGACAGACAGCAAGAAAGCTGAATAAAGAATTACAAATGTAAGAAGGTAAGGCAAAATAGATGGAAACACTGGTTAGCAGAGAGTTCAACGCAGGTTATAGCTATGATCAGGAAAACAAGAAAACTCATTAAAAATTTGGTAAGAGAATTGTGGGCTTCCATGCCTTGGAAGCAGAACATTGAATTTTAAAGACTGGAGCAGAAACATTTCTGACAGATTGAATACATGCACTAATATTTGGTATGAATATTTATGTAGTCCAACATCTGCAGTAGCTGTATATGTGCTGAGATCCTTTAACTTGTATAATCTCAAGTCCAACAGTAGTAACTGATTCTCTGCAGGCTTAAGTAAATCCTGACACAGTCCTCTAGATTCAGTGAAGTTGGATCATTAAAGTGAAATGCAGCAAGTCAGGCACAATCATCTAGAACATCATCTTCAAGGGCCTTAGTTAAACAAAGCTGAAAAGCCATGTGGACTAGCAAAAGACAGCTGACAAACCCAGGAATAAGGGTCAAGTGCTAATCGGGATAAGTCAGAGCGGAGACCTCGCTGCAAAGCCCGGCAGGAGGTGGGAAGGAGCCCACCCCGAGGAGGGTGGGAGCAGTATCTGCTGAGCGGTGAAAACTGCAGCTTAACCAAATGCTTACCCAAGGGAACTGTCAAATTAGAGTACTTGGAAGCGGTTTAGATTATCTTGTTTCAATTTGTCTTCTGTTAGCATCTGTATCCTATAAAGGAGGACAGGGTGTAGAACGGGGAGGGTTGATAATTTGGACAGCATATCTCATAGCAGAGTGCTCGGACTTTCATCCAGCAAACTGCACGGCTGCGGGTTCTTCAGATCTAAAGGCATAAATCAGAACAGGAACATCACCCTGCCTTTTTTTTCGTCCCCGCTTCTCCAGCGCAGATCTCAGCCCCCGGTTGCCGTCTCTGCACTCGGGGAGTAGCCTCCGCACTCGGCGAGCGTCTGCTCCCAGTGCTGCCCGCCGCAGTGGACCAGAATGAGGTGTAGGAGCTCCCTGCCACGGTTTCACGCCAGAGGAGGTTAATGCACGCCAGCCGTTCGTGGTAGCTGCCTGTAGGCAGGCTGTTTCCCCAGAGTACCTGACTAGCTCCACTAATGAGTTTATGAAAATACTTGCCCCCGTTACCAAAAATCTGCAGCTGCATCCAAATGGTGGTAGAGTATCTTTTTGCAAAGTGAGCTCTACTTAAGAAGGAGCCGCTGTTTTTTTAAATAAAGAATTTGTTTGAACAGAAAGATTTCTAATTCCTCCATTTCATGTTGGTAATTAAGCTGCTCCGACTTCTAAAACGTATGTGATTTTTGTCTTTAAAAATACACATTTCTCGATTTATACAGTTTGTGATAAAATTATATATCTTGCATATGCTTATCACATAAACTACATGTATTTATATTTCTTTCTTAGCTTTTGCTTTTTTTAAACTAGTATAACAATAAAGATAAAATAATTTGAAGCTTAAGAATAAATGCTGTCACAACGCGAAATATAACAAAAATAATCAGAACTTCAGTGCAAATAGTGAAGAGGCTTGATGTTGTCTACCAGGGAAATCCCTCCATACTGTTATTTATTTTAATTTAGTTTTTTGCATTTATTTTGAGAATTAATTGTGACTGAGAGTGCCTTTGTTGTCACTGAGCCATCTTCTCTTGAGCAATCCTGTGGCACCATTACATAGAGGAATCCAAGGCCAACAGTAAGCGCTGGAAGCATGTAAATGGAAAAATCAAGTCAACTGATTAAACTTTAAACAGGCTTTTATATGCTTTAATGTTTCTCTATCCTGCGTGACATATTCTGTGGGTGGTGGGCTTGGGTTTTTCTTGGTTTTTTTGCTTTCACAAGTAGCATTAGCATGCATCCTGGAACTTCTTACTCACATAACATGTCAGTGCAAGCTTCCTCTGAAGTTAGGAGAAGGGGCAAATATATTTTGGGTTGGTTTTTGTTTTTTTTTCTTTTTACTGTACCAGATTTATTCAGAAGATACACATGGCTCAGTTTTAACCTGACTTCTAATTTGTTTCTTTTTCATGCATAACACATACCACCTTCAGTCTCTTAAAATTATGATTGATTCTGTTCAGTTTTGTATTGCATTTTCTCTGTTACAATGTGAAAATAGAAGATATTTTTCCAACACACTGTCCTATGCAATAATTATGAATTCTTTCTCACAGAGACATGTGTCGCAGTCCAGTGGTAATCGAAAATTCAAGTGCACTGAATGTGGAAAAGCTTTTAAATATAAACATCACCTAAAGGAGCACCTACGAATCCACAGTGGTAAATAAACCAAGCATTGAATTGTGTACTAATGTTGCCATTTCTACTCTTTATAACTCTGATGTGGTATCAGTCTTGTAAGTCTAAGTTTAAAATACTACTGTTTTCCTTCCCCCCCCGGGACTCCATTAGCACTGATGGCAGCCTTCAGCTGTGTGCAGGAAATAAGTAGAATAACTCAAGAGGATTTACAGTTGCAGCTTAAGCTCTGACAGTTAAGGAAAACTTCACTTGTGGCAGAAGAAATGGGGGCATCCTTCTGGTCCTTTTTCACTTGTCTGTTTTTTCTCAATGTTTGCAGATCATTCAGCATGTTATGAGCCTTGCTAGAAAATTTTAAGTGGTAATAATCGGGACATAAGAACTATTCTTCCTACCATGGCTGTGATTTTCATCCTTCAAGACTAGTCATATTAAAATAGCCTAGGACACAGGTCTAGGATTGTGTTATACTATCACAACAGTTTCAATTTATAAGAAAAGTTCCAATTTATAAGAAATTTAATATATAATAATATATTTCAGTATATAATATAACAATAAGTTAAATGTGGTCACTCAAAAGAGAGTCTCAATTTCTGTCTTTAACCCGGATTTAGCCATTGACAGAAAGTCTGAAAACAAGTTTTTAGGCCATCTTTTCCTTTCTTATCAGTTTCTCAGCCATGAGCAATGAAGTGCACCTCACTTAGAAGTCCTCCCTCAGCAAACGTCATCTTCATTTCATTTCCAGAGGGTAGTGACACTGTGCCTGTGAGTGGGAAAGTCTCAGTCAACGTACTTTTCAATCTGAAGCAAGCCTGCTGTTTCAGCTCTTTCCTTTTCCTCTTGTAGCACAGATGCCCTGAAAAGCCAACTCTTGCTAGGGCTGCAACGACTGCATAGTTGTGTGCCTCTTCCTGGCAGTTTAACCTGATATTCATCTCTGAAGGCAAATATACATCTGTCTTCTCTATGTGTCTGGTTTCCCTTTACTTACACTTTGCCTGGTTTTCAGCTGATGAGTATTGTAGGAAGATATGGATATATTGTAATTGAGTTTGCTGCAATAAAATGTGCATAGTTCCTTATTCAACTATGATTTGCATTTATGGCTTTTTTTTTCTGTAGTTAATCATATTCTAATTCTTTTCCATTCTGAAGTAGTTTATGCAGCTTCTGAAATTAGTGAATGGAGTTTAATGAAATCTGCAAGTATCATATAGACTCATTTATGTGATATGTAGACAGTTACTGGGAAATACTGAAACATATCATGATCATGTGGGCTCCATCCTATATCTACTAGCTGATCACAAACTTATTAAAGGACCCTAGGATCAGAGCTGTAGATGACATAATTACTCTTACTGTTCAATTCACTGTATGAGATATTTTTTTTTTTCCCTAGGACTCTTTGAGAGGTCATTTTGATGTATTCTTTTCTACTTACTGTTGCTTGAGGAAGTTACACTGTAACCTAGTAAACAGTTGCATATGCCTCTTTCTTCTTCTTTTTTTTTTTTTTTTTTTTTTTTTTTTTTTTTTTTTTTTTTAATCTTTAGGAGAGAAGCCATATGAGTGCCCAAACTGCAAGAAACGTTTTTCCCATTCTGGTTCATACAGTTCACACATAAGCAGTAAGAAGTGTATTGGTTTGATGCCCGTGAATGGTCGAGCCCGGTCAGGGCTCAAGACATCTCAGTGCTCGTCCCCTTCCCTTTCTGCATCACCAGGTAGCCCAGCAAGACCACAGATACGACAAAAGATAGAAAATAAACCCTTGCAAGAGCAACTTCCTGTTAACCAAATTAAAACTGAACCTGTGGATTATGAATTCAAGCCCATAGTGGTTGCTTCAGGAATTAATTGTTCAACCCCTTTGCAGAATGGGGTTTTTAGTGGTGGTAGCCCATTGCAGGCAACCAGTTCTCCTCAGGGTGTGGTGCAAGCTGTTGTTCTACCAACAGTAGGTCTGGTGTCTCCCATAAGCATCAACTTAAGTGACATTCAAAACGTACTTAAAGTGGCAGTGGATGGTAATGTAATAAGGCAAGTATTGGAAAACAATCATGCCAATCTTGCATCCAAAGAACAAGAAACAATCAACAATGCATCTATACAACAAGCTGGCCATTCCCTCATTTCAGCTATCAGTCTTCCTTTGGTTGACCAAGATGGGACAACCAAAATTATCATCAACTACAGCTTGGAGCAGCCAAGTCAACTTCAGGTTGTTCCACAAAATCTAAAAAAAGAAAACACTGTTCCTACAAATAGTTGCAAAAATGAAAAATTACCGGAAGATCTTACAGTGAAGTCTGAGAAAGAGAAGAACTTTGAAGGAGAGACCAACGATAGCACTTGTCTTCTTTGTGATGACTGTCCAGGAGATCTTAATGCACTTCAAGAATTAAAGCACTATGAAACGAAAAATCCTCCTCAGCTTCCTCAGCCCAGTGGAACAGAAGCTGAGAAGCCCGATTCCCCTGTCCCATCAGAAACTGGGGAGAACAACTTATCTCCTGGTCAGCCACCTTTAAAGAACCTTTTATCGCTCCTAAAAGCGTATTATGCATTAAATGCACAACCAAGCGCAGAAGAGCTTTCAAAAATAGCAGATTCAGTAAACCTACCACTGGATGTGGTAAAAAAGTGGTTTGAAAAAATGCAAGCTGGACAAATTTCTGTGCAGTCTTCTGGACCATCTTCTCCTGAACAAGTTAAATTAAGCAGTCCTGCAGATAATGATGATCAAGCAGCAACTACAAATGTAAGCGAACCCCAGAACAGCACAAATAACTCACAAAATCCTGTCAATACAACAAAATCTCAGACTTTACCAGGGGCATCAACTCTGAATGGTTCACGCAGTAGCACGCCATCCCCATCGCCACTAAACCTTTCTTCATCAAGAAATTCACAGGGTTATACGTACACAACAGAGGGTGTACAAGAAGAGCCACAAATTGAACCTCTTGACCTTTCGCTACCAAAGCAACATGGAGAACTGTTGGAAAGATCTACCATAACTAGTGTTTACCAGAACAGTGTTTATTCTGTCCAAGAAGAACCTTTGAACTTAACTTGTGCAAAAAAAGAACCACAAAAGGACAACAATATTACAGACTCTGATCCTATTGTAAATGTAATCCCACCAAGTGCCAATCCCATAAATATTGCTATACCTACAGTCACTGCTCAGTTACCTACAATTGTTGCCATTGCTGACCAGAACAGTGTTCCATGCTTGAGAGCTCTCGCTGCCAATAAGCAAACCATTTTGATTCCACAGGTGGCTTATACATACTCTACTACAGTTAGTCCTGCAGTTCAAGAAACACCACCAAAACAGACCCAAGCCAATGGAAATCAGGTACTGCGGTCCCTGTATTCCTGTATGTTGTGTGTGATGTATTTATTCTGTATCCATGCTAACTAACAGAAAACTGTCAAGGTAGCTTATATTTACACTTTAATTTATCAGGTTTATTTGGCTTGATTGTTAATGGGTAATAGATGTTACTGTTAAGTCCTCTGCAAAGTTCGTTAGCTCAGGCAGCTCGAATCCAGACTGACAGAAACTGTATAGTTCTGTGTGTGGATAAGTCAGTTCTTCACCATATTCAGTCATTCAGAAATGTCTTCTAGGACATTAGTGCTTAGTATTTTCAAGACAGTCCAATTGTCCTGATCAAAAAGCAAAGTAAGGCCATGGCTTGTGTTTCTTGCTGGCTCCATATCTCCTCTTTCCCCGCATCCAGAAAATAAACTCATTGGAATTTTTGGCTACTCCCTTCACACCGCTTTGCTTTCTTGGCTTGCAGAATAGCTGAGTTCATCCTGCACCATAATGGCACTTTAAACAAATTTCATACGTATTCTCAATTGAGAGTTGGGCAGGTATTTATCTTCTTTATCTGCCATTCCTGTATCCTGCCCTGTTCCTCCCTGGGTACATGCAGATGTCATCTAATCAGAGGCAATCCTCCAGAGAAACCCCTTGAGGTAGGGACAGAGAAGAACAGAGAAGTGGCTCATGGAAAGACTGAGTGTTCCTAATTAAGTCTTAGAAGTTGGCTGCTTGTCATTTTATGCAGGCTTCTATATTGCAAGAGACTGAGGAGCCTTGAAGAGTTACAAGGTTGCTTATATGTTAAAGTTTATGAGACAGGCAACATTTGAGGTAGCCAACATGTACATTTTTATATTCAGATTTGATAATATATGATAAAATTAATTCTGTGTGTAGTGATAATGCTGATATCAGTAGAAGGTACTGTGATTCTTACAGGTGAGGTTCAGCTCCTGAAATGCTTAGAAACAGACAACAGTTATGATATTTTTAAAAGTTTATTTATTAATGAAACATTTGAAGTTCCCCGAATTTTGGGTTAAGTAGTATTTGTGGTAGTTTTATAAAGAAGAGGGTAGTCAAATATGCAAATTCAAATGGTAACTTAAATAGCTTTTTGTGAAAACTTCATCAAAAAATACAGCCTTAACTTCTATAAAATCCACGAGGTAGCAAAATGTGGGTGACAAACTTTAGCTGAGAAATGCAGTTAGATGTCAAATTTGCTCTTCCAACTTATTGAGGTACTTTATAGGTCTGTAATCTTCTTCTCCTTCCTAACATTGTATTTATTATACGGGCCCTAAAATATGATGTGTCAGTGTAGCTTAGACCTGGCCAACAGTCAGATTTGGATGTGATTAAAGTCAGTCCCAGTGAGAATTCTACATCTATATGGTGGCAGGGCTGCAAAGCAGAGCGATGCAGCAAAAGTTCTTTTTGACTATGTAAGTCTAAACAATTTTGTTTGGCTGTTTACAGAATTGAACGAGAAGAACAGTGCAGCTTCAGCTTACATTTTATAAATTGTATGCTGCATCAGTGCATTTTTTTATTGAACTCAATCTTTTTCATAATTTTTCTTAAGGATGAAAGGCAAGACACTAGCTCAGAAGGAGTATCGAATGTAGAAGATCAAAATGATTCTGATTCAACACCCCCAAAGAAAAAGATGAGGAAGACAGAAAACGGGATGTATGCATGTGATTTATGTGACAAAATATTCCAGAAGAGCAGCTCATTATTGAGACATAAGTATGAACACACAGGTATGTACTAGGAAAAGCAGTTTCAGTTCATTATGTCATTGGTAGTGTATAACTGATAATCTCAACTGGAATCCAGTTCTCAGAAAGTGTAGGGAAGTGTAATAGTCCTTCTTATCATCTGCGCTCAGCTTTCTTTAGAAACCTGTGTTTTGTATATTTGTTTGACAGAACTGCAATTCTATGTTTCTTTAAATTTGTAAGACCTAAACCCTGCAGAGAAAAAGGGGAGTTTCTTCCATCTGGCTCATGAACAATCATCTGCGAGCCACAGCCTGTAATCAAGGATGTATTACTTCTAATTTACCTTGCCTGGTTATAAATTAAGAAAAATTAAAAATTAAAATTATAAATTAAGAATAAAGGATCGTGTATGTCTATGATACTCTACATGAAAGGCAGTGTATCTATCTAGTATGAAGGATTTTCAAATTGGGCCACATTTGTAATGATCTGAAGTTAACAGCCATTCAGTAGACATGGAGTCTAACCCCAAAAGAACACCCTTTTGGCTTTGATTTTTATTTTTAATTCCTCATAGTTATTCCTTTTGGCTCTAGTTCTTTAGTCTTTTTTTTAATAACTGTTGCTCTCTTATTTCTTCTGTGACGTCTTAAAAAAAACTTTTTTTTTTTATTGGTTAGGTGCCTAAATTTATATTTCTGCATATTAATGTTCTAATTTCATCTCACATACAGAATTTAAAAGATTAAAAATTCCCTTTTGTCTTTACCACTTGATCAAGTTTCTCAAGTTGTATTCGTTAAGACTATTTTCATACCTTTACTGTCCTGAGACTGTTTTAACTCCTCCTTTTCATAACACAATTGTTCTTTCCATTCTACTTTTAAATTAAATGCAGTGTTCAAAATCATAGAATCATTTAAGACCCTTAAGATCATCAAGTCCAACTGTTAACCTAGCACTGCCAAGTCCACCACTAAACCATGTCCCAAAGCACCACGTCTACTCGTCTCTTAAATACCTCCAGGTATGGTCACACAGCCACTTCCCTGGGCAGCCTGTTCCAATGCTTGATAACCCTTTCGGTGAAAAAATTCTTCCTAATATCCAATCTAAACCTCCCGTGGTGCAACTTGAGGCCATTTCCTCTCATCCTATCGCTTGTTACTTGGGAAGAGAGACCAACACCCACCTCGCTGCTTGTTTGGCATAAGTTGACGTGGAAGTGTTGATGATCTGTATAGCGTGACCAAAAAAACTGCTGTGATATTATCTCTACCTTTTATGTCTGGGCTAAGACTGTTCAAAGTTGTTTTGCATAACAGCTTTGAGTGTTGCAATCAAAATAACATTACTAGGCTTCTACTATGTTTCTAAGAGAGTCTGAAAACAAGGCAACAAAGTAGAAAGCTGGAAAATAGAGCAGAAAGAGAACTAAGTGAAACAAAGCAGATTTTTCTTGTTAACGTATGTGTAGTCAGCAAGTTTTGTTCATAAGAGATTTACCTGTGCCAGAAGGTTCTAGATTTTAGAATGATTTTCCCTTTACCTATAACATGGAAGAAGGACTTGGTACACAAAAACCAACATCAAAGCTTAGTCAATTTAACATTTCCATAAATATAGAAAAGTTAAAATGGTTTTGAGTCGAAATAATGTTTACTGCAAGAAAAATGTCTCCTTTTCTAAATTACTTATATTCACACTTTTTTGTGCTAGAAATTACATCTGAGAATCTGATTGGCCTTCTGTGTTCAGTTTTCCTAAAAAAACTTACAAATTACCCTTGTAATTGTGACAATGTACCCTTGCACCCTCGTCCTTTGGGCTCGGGTGAGAAACTCAGGCTGATAACACGTGGAGTAGAACATCTTATTAAATAAAATTATTAACTGTTGATAATACATTCACCAGCAGCATTTTGTAATGAAAACAACAGTGCAAATTTTTAAAACTTAAGTTACAAGATGTCCAATTGTTTGTGCTTTATTTTGTAGGTAAAAGACCTCATGAGTGTGGAATCTGTAAAAAAGCATTTAAACACAAACACCATTTGATTGAACACATGCGACTGCATTCTGGGGAAAAACCCTACCAATGTGACAAATGTGGAAAGCGGTTTTCACACTCGGGGTCTTACTCTCAACACATGAATCATCGCTACTCCTATTGCAAAAGAGAGGCAGAAGAGCGTGACAGCACAGAACAGGAGGAGACAGGCCAGGAGGTCCTCAATAACGAGCATGCTGGTGCCAGGGCATCTCCATCGCAGATCGACTCAGATGAGAGAGAGAGTCTAACCAGGGAAGAAGAGGAAGAGAGTGAAAAAGAGGAAGAGGAGGAGGAAGAAAAAGAGGTAGAAGGACTTCAGGAAGAAAAAGAATGTAGGAAACTACAAGAAGTAGAGGATGAAGAAGAAGAAGAAGAAGGGAAAACTGAAGGTAACAAGAATGATGAAGCTGTAAATCAAGCAAGCAATGCAGAACCAGAAGTTATACAGAATAACGGGCAGGTGTCGGAAGAAAAAAACAAATAAAGCTTAAATGATAGTTTTTTCTATAAGGAAAAAAAAAAATTGGTAATGAAGTTCGTTCTATATTATACATGCTTTTCATGGAAACGCAGTAGCCTGCATACTGTGATTTCTGTTCACTACTGTGTAAAAAAATATATATGTAAAAAAAAGAAAAAGAAAAAAAAAAAAGAAATCCAGGTGTGCCTGAACCTCAAACTTAGTAATTTTTCACACAGTTTTCAAAGTTAGGAACAAGTTTATAACATGAAGCAGATTAGAAAAATACAGTGACTCCGGAAGCAAAGATTTAACAGGTTGTAGGAAACCTGATTTATTAGACAAGCATCTGGCATTGTTTGTTTTATCAGTATTAATTTTCATTCTTAAGTTGATTAATTTTTAAGCTGTACAATTGGGAGAGATTTCTATGAATTTTTTTTTTTATGGTAAAACATTTCCTAAGTCCACTTCAGTATTTTCTTATGTTTTAAAATGTGAGAACTTCTGCACTACAAAATTCCCTTTTGCAGAAACCTGTAATGCAGTTGCAAACAGTGCTTGGCTACCTTTGTAAATTCAACCTGGAAGGTAGCAGTTTATGACATTAGATGTTGTAGTAGAGCATATTATCATTTAAAGTGTATTGTTAGCCTTAAGAAAGCAGATGATAGAAGAACTGAAGTTTCTTACTCATGTGATTAAAAATGTAGTTGAAAAGATTGTCGTTGAGTTCTGATTGCAGGGACTAACAGTGTTAATACTGGTAAGGACAGCAAAGTCGTCAAAATCAGTGTTTGTAATTGTGTTTTGAGTATGTAGTAACAATATGAAGGATATGATATGAAGCTTTGTATCTCCTTTGGCCTTATGCAAGACCTGTGTGCTGTAAGTGCCATTTATCAGTATTATAAAGGCTCTAAGCAGCCTTTATCCAACGGGTGGCCTACAATAACTAGCATTTGTTGATTTGTATCAAACTTCTAAACTAATCATGGGGAAAAAAACACTCAGCCATCAGAGAAGTAAGAACACTGGTATATTTCATTATTTAATTATTTGGTGGTATTTTGGGTTAATACCTGACTTGCAGAATTTCTCTACAATAATTACAAGGGAAATTTTCTAATCTGCTTTATTGCTTTATTGGTTTACTTTAATTTCAGACACATACATGACATGTTATCTGGCTCATAAGTATTTTCAAATGTTAGTTATTATGGACCCCATTTATTAACAATGTTAGCTGATTTTTACCTATCAGTATTATTTTATTTCTTTTAGTTTATAGATCTGTGCAACATTTTGTACTGTATGTCTTCAAACCTGGCAGTATTAATACCCTTCTTACTGACATATGTACCTTTTTAGTTTTAGAAAACTTTTATATTTATGTGTCTTATTTTTATATTTCTTTATTTATTACACAGTGTAGTGTATAATACTGTAGTTTGTATTAATACAATAATATATTTTAGTATGAAAATTTGGAAAGTTGATAAGATTTAAAGTAGAGATGCAATCGGTTCTCTTGCATTGAGATTTGATTTAACAGTGTTATGTTAACATTTATACTTGCCTTGGACTGTAGAACAGAAGAATTAAAATGGGAATGTATTAATTTTACAATTGCAATCAATTCATTTTACCTTTACCCAGTTTTTAATATAAAGCTCTTAAATTTTGAAATTCACTGTGTGACTAATAGCATGATGCTCTGCAGTTTTATTAAGAGATTAGTCTAACCATAAAACTCTCATTTCCTTAGTAAGCCAAATTAGAATAATCTTATAAACAGTGTTGGGAACAATGTTTAACATTTTTGTGCCAATTTGTTCCTGTATTCATGTATGTATGTTACAAAACTGAAACTTCATTTTTAAGTTCCTTGTTACATCATGGTCATTTTCTAGTTTTTTACCAGACTCCCCATCTCACAATAAAATGCGTCAACAAGTCTGACTTACTGTCATTATTCTGGTACTTTAGAAAATGGTTTTCAGTTATTTCTATGAGATGTTATTCGGACACAGTTCCTGCTTCAGTGTCAGTATTCAGTTTCTATTGTACATAAGGAGCACATAAGTGAAAAAGGTTTGACTGTGTGCAGACGAAGGGATTGCTACATTAGTTTATTGATTTACCAACGTTAGTAGAACAACTGAGTTTTCAAAATGAACCTTGTGGTTTTGTGAGTATTTTTTTTTTCTCTTTATCCACTATACAGTTTAGCACTCTGTTTCAATAAGACTGCTTTTAAAGGAATTAAGTCTATAACAGTTTTCTTGATTTAGCAATAAGCTAGTGAAAAGGTTGATGTATATATTGCTGTTGAACTTTCCAAAGATACAGCACCAACATTACAGATATATATAATTTCAGTAACGTAAGCATGAAGGCTTGAAAGTTGTATTACATATGCATGTTTACAATGTTTTGCAGTTTAAGCAAAGTTTAGAGGCTGTTCTTTAAGCAAAGTTCTGTTCTTTAACGACCTAAAAGGGGATTTCAGTTGTTAATTTGGGGGTTTTTACGTGAACATGATGTAAGTTATTTGATATTCATATATCTAAGTTTTGAATAGTTCTCCATCTTATTATCTCAACATTAATACATACAAAGGATTTATCCCATATATTGTTTTACTTTGTATTTTACTGTATAGTATACCAAATATTGCACTTTTAAGTGGAGTAAGCTCCTAACTCAGCAGTATTCTTGAGGTAAACATGAGAAAGCTGTTTTGAAGAAAATAACCATTTGTATTGCATCAATAATGTTGCCTTGGAATTATTATCATTACAGAATCGATCAAGTAGTTCAGGATTTCTCACAGGTAAAACTGGATATGCTCTGTTTAGGTAATGAAACACACCTTTTTGAAACTATTTTAAGATTTTTCACATTTTTCATATTCCAGGAACATCTTACTTGTCTATAGTAAATAAACCCAGTGAGACATTTGTTGAAATGGGAAGATTTTGCTGTCTTCAGTAGTAGAACAAAGAATTTTAATAAATCCAAGTTTACTCACATAAGTGACAGCTGCACGTGAAAGGCCAGTAACTTCGATTTCCAGAACCTTAAATGAAGCAAGAGAAAACTGTGCTTGGATAGAGAGCAAAGTCCAAGCAGTTTTGATTCAGGAAATGTCACTGGTTTGGGGGATAAAATTTATATTCATTACTTAGACTATGAAACCATTATTAACATTTTTATCTTCAAAACGGATTGGTGTATTGAATTTTGCATCTGTTAAGCTCAGAGATGTCTCTGATGTTTGTGACCTTATAACATCATGTATTATCCATTTGAAAAACACAAAAACTGTGATGCATCTTTGTTTAGCGGAGTAAACTCATCCATCAGTGAGATGCCTGCAGTGCAGATAGCTGTGCAGTGTAGAGAAGCCTAGGCAGCTGTGAAGGAGTCCATCCACCAAGGTACCAGAAGCAGTCCAGCTGCAGCCCTGCAGCCCTTCTTTCCAAGTTCATGGCAAAGCAGTGTCAAGGAGAGTAAGTTTCCCACGTGAAAAAAAGCGAAAGCAAAAGTGTAAAGCCTTTGCGTTCTGTCCTTTAAATAAAAGTTGTAAAAGAGCAGTAAAAATGGAATGTAGTTTTAATAAAACTTCACTGTCCTGTGACCTCTTCTTTGGTCAGAAGATGGAAAGTACATCAGTTGCCCTGTGTGCCCAGGCTGTTGTCTGTGCCTGCTTCTTTCTCATGCTCACCATGCGTGGCTCAGCTAAGCAACCAGAGGCCAGCCGCTGGTCCAGACTGACAAAAAGAAAAGGGTCCTTTGAAAGCAGCATGGGACAGAGCACTGACCTGAGCCTGATGTGCTCGTTTTGGTTCTGCTACTGACCCATTTTTTACTCCAGAATGTACTTGATTGCTATGTTTAAAATCCATTCCAGCTGCAAAATTGTGACAGTGGTATGTCCTCTTTTATCATGTAATTTGCAAATAGGAAAAATATTACAGAATAACTATAGGAAGAGTGTTACAGAAGAATTAAATACTAAGTTTCATGCCCTGAGATGGGGAATACCCTTCTGAGATCCTGAGGAAACAGGAGCAAGAAAGAGGGACTTAAGGCTACAGAGAAAACTAGAAGATATGTTGAAGTAACTGCTTTCCCCTTTTTTAGTAGTAATCATGTGGCATCCCAGTGGTGATTCTGGTGGCATTCTCAAATTCTCCATAGTCACATTGCTGTCTACTTGCTGGTTTTCTGGAGCAGCCTATCCGTATGTGTAATTGGTAACATAGAAATGCAGTATGTATGAGCTTGAAAGTTTGGGGTTTTTTTTTCAATTGTATTGAATTACAAAAAAATCAGATAAATTAATGGATACTAAAAAAAGAAATCTGGAACTTTTGTAGTTTGGCTAATCTGAGTGCCAGTGTGTTTCAACAGCTATCTTACATTTTAGTAGAAAAGAATGCACCAATCCAGAACGCAATGTAGTTACTCTAAAAGGTACTATTCTTCAGACAGACTGAGTAAAAATTGCTTAAACTGGCAACAAGTGTTGTTGTGTTTGCACTCTTAAGTAAAATTATTCTAATGCAATTATTGCCAGTAAACCCCCAGTCAGTGTCTGTACAAGCAGCACTTTATTGATGGTTGCGCGGCCAAGTGTGCCTGGGATAGCAACGTCCATGAGCCTGAGTGGCAATGTGAAAGCAAAGCCATTTACAAGCGAGAAAATACTACGCTACCAAAAGCAGAGTTTTTGCCACAGCAAAATGCTACACTGGGGCTTTATCATCGAAGTGATGAAAGATCAGGTGTAAACACTCCAAACCAACATAGAAGTCTGTAGCGGAGAAATGAAAATTCTTTCTAGTGTACAGAAGACCATTAGAGGTAAAGGTAATGATCAGAGGATGAGAAAAGTCCATTTTGCTCATGGAGGCTGTAGTGAAGATGGAGGATGGCTTTAGAGCAGAGTAGGAGGAGAGAGGAAAGAGCTTAGTATGTGCTGTCTTGCACACCTCTTGAAAGGGTGTTCTTTTTAATTTATTTACTACCAGTGTATAAGTCTGTGCACAATTCTTTGCTTGGATAGAGGTTTTGTTGTATATTTTGCAATTCACATTCTGGTACTTAAAAACTTTTTTTTTTTTCCTCTTTCCTTGACAGAATAGCTTGTTTAATTGTCACTAGAATAATCTCTAAATTTCATAATGGAAATTCAATATTAGAGTATCTTT